ACGCATGCGCACACACACACACACACACACCCACGCACATCTAAAGCAAAGCACAGAGGTCCAGAGCTATAGGAAAAGCATCTATAGGAAAACATAGAAGTCCAGAGCTCCAGGAAATTAACCAGTAAGTATTCTTTAAGTTACTTTGCACTGCTCCCCAAATGAATAAAGTAGCAAGAGTATTCTTGATGCATCTAGCCAAAGCACGTAAATGAAAATAAAATTGATACTACAGCTCTTCAAATTATTAGAAAAAATACATGACAACCTTCTCTTTTGGTTTCTTATTTAGTTTTCAAGTACTATATTAAAAAACAATTAAAAAATAAGGCATTTTCCAGGCAATAAATACAGACTCTTGATATTAAATCCTTCCTAACATAGGTTTTTTTATGTAGGAATTAATTATAGAGAATATACATAAATATTCCTAACATTTTGGGTTATTCCTATGAATCATGAAGCATCTGCTATAGATGGCTGAATACCAGAAAACATATTCTCTAGATAAATTATTTGATGAACATTACCATTATTTTCAGAATAAATTAGTTGATGAACATTATTCAACCTGCCATCAAGCTGTTGAATATTATAAAGAGGTATTTAAATAAGTTATTCAATAAAAAGTGGCAACATCTGTCTTATTTATGTTTTCTTCAAGTACTGTTCATTTAATTCTACAGATGGCTAGCCCATCATGCATTGGCCAGATAACCATTTTCTTTTCACAGAAATTTGATGACAATCATAAAGGTTGCATAGATATAACATCATTTACTTCTCCACAGAATACTCCAACATTAACCATGCACTGATGTCTTATAGAATAGTTCTTACTGAATACTGCCCTCTCCATTCTTTTGTAACTGCAAAACCCCAAATGGCCAGTATTCACAGTAGGAGAGGCTTTTGAGAGGGATGGAGTCTGCCAGGAGGAGAATGATTTCATTTGCCTCTTCAGCTTTTTTCACTAACAGACAAAATGGTAGACCAATGGCAATACAGAGGTTATGAGATGAATAGTCTCTGAATTCCCCACTACTTAATTCGTTTCAGCTAAGTTGAGATGGATAAAGTCCAGATTGTAAACTGCAGTCACTCAATGGAGAGAGGTTGTTAGTCGTGTTTGTCTGAAGTTAGTCAGAAGACAGGGAAGATATGCACCTTTATACGCTATCTACGTGGAGAAAGTGAGAGCAAGCTATTGTGAACCCAAGCTCACTTTATCAAATGCTGTGAAAGGGTAGCATAGAACAGAGTATAAAGTGGAGTGAGAGATTACAATAGAAGAGGTGGGAAAGCATGAGGCAGGCAAAGGAAGGAGGGAGTAGAGGGACTGCCCCTCTACCCTCTTCCCCCCTCATACAGGCAAAGAACCCATTGGAACAAAGGAATCACAAAAGTTAATTCAGGAGCTCTATTGCTAACTAGAGCATATAAAGAAACTACAGGTATTGGACAAAATTCAGTTCTCTGTTGAAATGCAATGAAATCAAAGTAATTCCTCTGACTTCTGGAGCCACTCCATCACCTTTTTCCTACCTAGGGAATTTCTCTCTATATAAGAATAACTCTCAGGTCATATAATCTGATTGTTTTAATTAATCTCACTTCAGCATGAGTATTTAATCTTATGGTAGTGTTGTTGAAGTGATGTTGTAGCTGTGATAGTCTGGCATACAAGAGGCAAGAGTTTTTGCAGGTAATATCTTTTATTGGACCAGCTGCAGATATTGCCCCCAAAACTCCTGCCTTTTGCATATTTAGTAGTATGCAACACAGTATTCTGAATACTATATTAATTGTAGTATTCTTTTTAAAAATCTCCCATTCCCATCTGACACACACCCTCATACTGAACAGAAAGAAAAATAGGTAAAGGTCTGTGTTGCTGTAGGGAGATAAGAGTCAGGATGTTGGTTTACATATGCATATATATAAAAAGAAAGAATATGTATGTGTGTGTATGCGCACACATGTGTGTGCATGCATGCATGCATGCATGTGTGTGTGTGTAGAAAAAACATGAGAATCAGGAATATGATTTGTACATCTTGTCATTCAGTTTCTTTGCCTGTTTTTAAAGTAACCCTTTTCCTCAGGCATGTCACAATGTTTGAATATTCATATCTGGATCTGGATTTGGAAACTTAAATCAATTTGCATTTGTTGGAATGATTAGACTAGTCAGAATTAAGGACAACGTACAAGAAAGTTATTTGGGTAGTGTGACTAATCAAATGTCATGCTTATCCACCTGGGAGACACTTGCACCTTGTTTGAAAAAGCCAAATCTTTCCCAGTTAAAAATAAATGTGTCCCATTCAGTGTGTGTGTTTGTATGCCAGATAGGTTTTTGTCAAAAAAGTATGGCCTGCTGAATTCCAGGTTGCTTTAAGACACGGAACCAATTATTTTGGTGGTTTTACTGTGTTATATTTATTGTCCTGGTAATATAACAGCTGTGCTCTTCCTCAAGATATGCATCTAAAGAAGATGCCTCTTTTTAAAAACACAGAATATATACCACAATCCTTAGGTCATGGCAGGTGGACTATCATTATTCTACACGATAAATTAGCTGCAACAAAAAGCAAGAATTCAGCCTGACATTCCATCAGCAAAGGAATCTATTTTGGTTCCATTTTGGTCATATCGTACTATACAATTCTGTATCATGATTTTTCTTCTATTTACAATGGATTACAGAAAGCATAGAAGAATAATTTTGTTGGATGGCTTCACTCTAAATGTTGCATGAAATTACAGTAGATCTGTTCCAAATCTATCTTTGGATCATAGGCCTTTCCCCCAACATAAATGGGAGCAGAGAGTTTAGAAGAAGAACAAGATTCAATGCTCTTTCATTGACCTAAAGCATGAATTATAGCTATGTATCTACTAATATGCAGTAGTGGTACTGGTAGAGAAAAACTTAAAAGGCAGTGGACTATATATTTCAAGCCTGCAATAAGAAAAAGATTATATGATACAAAAGGAGGCAATCATTTGTTTAGATGTTTGTGGGTAATAAGAATGATTGATGATATAAACTGTCAATTTAAATTCCAGTCCATAACAATGTAAAGATACCATGGATAGTAAAATTACAACACATATGGATTTTATGAGCAGAAGTGATTTCTTGGTAACTTTATATCTCAGTTTAAAATATAGTTTCCCCAGCATATCAGATCTTTTCCCTGACCCTGAAGTGTTCAATGAATCATACACTGAATGAACATGACCCTAGGGTTAAACTTTCTTCCAGCTAAATTGTTAATCTGCCATAGTAAAGAAAGATAAACCATTTCACCTTATACTGGAGTTAACAAGACAATTAGCTAACCCTAGAGAACGATTTATGGTTAAATATGACAGTGTTATCTTCGGACATAAGGTACTGGTGCTGCTGGTCCATGTCAGCACCTACTCTTGACTGCATTTATCTTCCCAGAAAATGAAGCTGGTAGATCAGTGTACACTATTAAAAGAAGTGAGATTAATTATTCCCATGTAAAATACACAGATTCACTACAAATTATATTTTGATTCAGCTTAGTGATGAAGGGGAAGTTTAAAAAATGGTAGTGTGATATCTTAAACACACCTTATACTTATTTCAGTGTTTGTAAATCTCAGAGATACCAGGACTTCTGCAGAGGAATTTAAACATACCGTGTGAAATGTTTAAAAGTATTTCCTATCAACAAACCATTCTTTTAATATAAAAACGTGCAGCAACAAGGGGCTGCTTTCTCTTTCAGTAGGAGCACCAAAACCACATTCACAGTTACAAAACTCTGTTTAATTGAATTTTAAAAGAACTATTTTTAAAAAGGTTTATTGTCATGGTGCATATAGGCCATAACCAGGTAGGAACAATCACGTGGGGCAAAGCAACCCACATACTAAGCAGTGCCCCCTGCCCCAAAGCGTTTACAGTCTAATGCTGTAATATACTGCATTTACTTAGTCAGCTGTGATCTGAAAACAAGCAAATGGTGGCTTACCATTCTTTAGTAGTGGTGAGACGGACACATGCAGAGGTAGTGACAGACAGGATAGTGCAAAAGAGACTCAGAAAGAAGATATCTCTCCAAAATTAAGCCAGTTGTGGTGCAGATACTGAAGAAACAACTGCAAGATCTGTGCTATCTAATACCTTATTTAAGAATAACTGTAATTAGAATTCTGTTTTGACCCACACCAACACATGTATAACAGAAAACAAAAAAGAGCACTGGAGCCTTTACATGTATAGAGGAGGTAATTACCCAATATGTTGTGTTTTCCCATATGTAGAAGGGATTACACCAGGAACCCTGCTGCCTAGATAAACACCAACAGTACAGAGCATGACAGCAAGAGCAGTGTTGACTGGATATGGGAATATATGTTACATAACTGAATGATGCCTTGCTGAGTCATTGCTGCCTGCATAAGCACTATGAACAATGAAAATGAGGAATGTCACATTCATGTAAACATTCTTCAGATTACAGTTTGCAATATAAATCAATGGTTTTTCTATGCATGCCCTAAACCCTGTTATTTTAGTTGTATTAACTATCTCGATTTAAGCAACGGCACCAAAACTTATTTAGTATGACATTTATTATAAGAGGCACAATTAAATGCTAGTGTATAAATAAACTGATTCATTCTTTAGTTTACATCCAGCTGTGAAATAACTTTCTCAAAACTGCATACAAAACTGTTGTTCAGTATAGAAAAGTTTACATCACTTAGAGGTCTAGACTATTTGCCTTTTTTAGCACATGACCCTTAATACATAAAGTGAAATGTTCTCCTTAATTTTGCATGGTAATGGCCTTTCTCCCTGGGTGCACTTCTGGTTCTGTGCCTCTCAGGCACCCTGCATGGAAGAGAACAAATGGCTTTCTAATTAAACTAATTGAGTTAGATAGCTATCACAGATTTCAACGTATTGGACCATGAGCACTTCTCATCAGTCGTCTCCTCTTTGTTTTCAGACCTCGTCAATGCAATGGACATATGAGATCAATGGTCTTCCTCCACAGACCAAACCACCTACTACATCAGCAAAAGTAATTTCTACTGGTGGTTACATACGATCAGCCACGGTTCGACAGCGCAACTTTTTACGTGAAAATCTGAAGCTAACAACCACCGGTGTTTCTTCTCCCATCAAAGGTGCACCTCTGATCTTGAAGACAAAATAGAAATAGAGTAGTGTCAATTTGTGTTCTCTAAAAAGTGAACCTTTAAAATAAATAAATAAATAAATAATGTAAACAAGTTATTTTCTTATTTTCATAAATTTTAAAAACAACAAATATGGCATTGATTGTGTCAGCAAGAAACTAAGTATATTTATTTCTCTCTGAAAGAGTGACATACCTGGTGAGAAATGGCCTTAACTCTCAGGAATTCTTCAATTTTTTTCTGGTAACAAATTTGTAGTAAAAATGAAAAAAGGGGTTTTGGTGAAAATACTATTTCTGGTTGCTGGACCTTTAAAAACTTCATTTCTCAACCTGATATATGATTTGAACATTTTTAGGCTTTACATATATTAGACTAAGTTTGAAGGGTTTCTCTATTATAAGATACCTTAAGTTTGTGTTTCCATGAAATGTTAAAATAGGTACAATTGATATATTGTACCTATATACGTAGGTACGATATATCTATATCAATTGATCAATTGATTGAGATATATACACATGCCGTGCTTTAGTATTTCCAAAAGGAAGTATTAAAGCACAGCACCATAGCAACGTCACCATATGGTGACATGTAGACGCACCCATATATATTTATATAGGTATATATGGGCACATTTACATGTGACCATATGGTGACATTGCTATGGTGCTGTGCTTTAGTACTTCCTTTTGGAAATCCTAAAGCATGATGCAGTAACAGCTTGTACTGTGTTGTGTGAGTGGACCACAGTTAGATTTTGCAGTTGCTTCACCATAGCGGTGTGGTAAAATGAGGGAAAATGCCACTACAGAGAAGTAGGTGTCAATCACATGTAGACTCACATGATTGCTATGTTGCTATAGCACACCATACAGTGATATAACATATCGCTATGGCGATGTAGGGTGACATGTAGTTACACCCTATCTATCTATATTTATATGTATATCACACAAATTGCAGGGACTTCTGTCTTCAACTCTGTTTTTTCCTAATTAAAAAATGAAGATGGGGAGCTGTGGTGTAATGCAGGACTTACTAAACATCTTCACAGTCTTAGAAAAGTTTGAACAGGAAACACTTTGTATTTTGTGCTCTGTCAAGCACTCTTGCAGTATACCTACACAAAGCAAGCTGACCTCTTTCAAGATAAAAACACTTGGACCAAGTTCACAGCAGTTTGGCAATGTTACATTAGTTCACGCTGCAGCCTGAATAGCTTTCAGATGCTCTTGCTTTGGAACATTTCACTAATTTCAACATACTTCATTGCTCAACCTGAGAATCCCAAGTGTTTTTGACTTTGAAACATTTCAGAAACTTAAGGCATTTTTACATGTGCTCTGGGGGTGGAGGTGGTAGCGCTAAAGTATCAGAGTCCCCATGCTTCAGAACAGCAGCAGGGGTGCTTTATCTAAATCTTGTCAAATGAGCTTTAGTTAAGGTGCTCCCACTACCATTTTGAAGTGTGAGGATGCTGATACACGAGACTTGGAGGCTGGCTGGAGTGTGCTAATTAGCACGCTCCAGCAGACTCAGTTGAGTCTGCTCTGATGCACTGTAATTATAGTGTGTTGGAGCAGCCTCCTGGCTCATGTACAGGCACCCTTAGGGCACTGACAGCAATAGAAACCCCCCCCCAGCACTTTACTGGAAGAGGGATTAAATCAGCTGTTAGATAAAAGTACCAAAATGCCCTGCTGAAGCATGCAATCTATGCAGATACTGGGGAGCCAGATCAAACTGATGTGGTTCCTCTTCTGGGCATGTGCTGTGCTTGGCACAGGAGCACATCAAGCTGAAATTAAAGCGCTATTTTTTCCCCCCATGTCTGTCAGCAGACTTAGATGACTACATCCAAGAACAAGCATGTGGGATGAAAGGCGATAAAAAGGAGATTAACAAATACTTCAGTTTCACTGTGCATTAGACAGCCCTTCCAAACATATTGAACTTAAAAAAAATACTAAAACGCTATGTAAAAAATAGTGGAAATAGCTATACAGATTTTATTTCCATTATAAAATAGCATATATAACTGTACTTCCATGTAAAATCACTAGTGGAAAGGGGGGGGAGGTCAATACGTAGAATATCTTTGAACATGGGTATGGTGTGGGAAAGGAGACATATGTAACCTTGGTTTGAAAGAAGCAAACTGGCACAGGACACACAACTTCTATTCTTCGAGGTTTTGCTCTTCATTCATATGTAATGAATTTTGTTACTCATAATAAATTACAAATTATAACTATTCCCTTGCTTTAATAGTTTGATGTAGAGAAAAAAAAACACATGGCATTTCATCATAAACATTTTCTTGAAATGCTTTCCTGGCACAAGTAAGAAATTAACATTGTTGCTCAAGAGTGATTAATCAATGGTGCTCCTTTATGTAGGCCAACAATAAAATCATATTGCTCTTACATGCTTCTGTTTTTGTTTATGCCACATAACTTCCAGAACAGTGGTTATGGGAAATGTTTTGAATATTATAAAACAGTAATTACTGTGGCCAAATACAGACATTCATTTTCTCTTGGGAGAGAAGCTGGTCTTCCAGGAGAAACTATGAGTATATAGATGTTCAGGATTTTTCTCCCAGAGCACTAATGGCTGCTCCAGGAATAAAATAGCCCAGGAACATCCAAGGTTAAATTGCTTCTGGAAGAGTTTCTCCTGGGAGAGGGAATGTCTGTACAAGTTCTCTTCTGAGAAGAAGACACAACACAGTCTTCCAGCATCACAGGGTACTTTGCTCCAACACTTACCCTCTCAGTTAGTGTTTCATAATGGACACTACCGTTCCTGCTGATCTGGGAGCAGAACAATGCCCTGTTCACAACCACACATTGTGCTGCAAGGAGACACAGACTGACACCTGAATGGTCTGTCTCAGCCAGTAAGGACTGCCCTGTGCACTGCTGACATCTGTCTCCAGGCAGACTGAGGAAGTTGGGAGAGTACCCTGAGATGTATGCACAGGGGCCTCCTGGTGGCACAGCATTAGCACTGGAAGCTCTCCACTCTTTAAGGACTCAGCATTCAAATATCTGTTCATGCATGCCACATTTTTTTCTACCAGGAAAACAAACCTTGGAGAATACTCCCAGATCATTTCAACATGTATATGCAGCCTATTTCTAATCCCTCTGCTTTAAATGCTAAGTACCTGCTTCTGACCTGATAACAGAATAAACTTAAGCATAGTTTCAGTGAATGAAATGAATTTATACAAGCATAGAACAGACTCTGACCCTAAGAATTCAAGTATACAGATGGAGGGAGAGAAATATTAATAACACTAAAATGTATCTAAAATGGATATTTATATATTAAGATATTGTGGTTATAAAATACAAGAATTCATGAGATGCCATGACTAGAAAGGCTGTTATATTGCATTTGGAAAGATTCTTCTCCACACTTCTAAGCAAGTGTATCTTGGACTAGGAAAAAATAGAATTTAAATTTTCCATTGGTTCACAACTGATTATTGGTTTTGGTCACTGAAATGCAATTTTTCAGTGCCTGCTTTTCATTGAAGGAGACTTTTTTTTTAATGGCAGTTGTTTGAAAACATTGTAATTCTGTCAGAGATTGATTAGTGGGCAAAGTGTAGGTGAGTTAGGCAAAGATTAAAATAAATGGAGTTCAATACAGAGCTGCAGAAATAAAGGAATTGCATTCTATAATCAACTTGTCCGCACTTGCAGTGTGTGTTTAACCATTCTGCAGTGTATAGCATAAATCCCATAAAGATGCACAAAGAGGAGTTTTATGCAATGCATATGATAATGAATAGATGTGTTCAAAAGGTATATTACTGTGGTGTTTCTATTTAACATATTTTCTACTTAGACTATTTTTTTTCCCTAGGATTCTTTAACCAGATTTTTCTGTATGTACAAATTCACTCATGGGTTACGCACGATAAGCCAGCATCAGTCAAATTTATGTACAGTATTAATAACTTGTATTGCTTGCTGTTACTTGTCATGCTGTCTGACAAAGAGAGAATAGAGGCCTTTTTTATTTCCTATCAAAGAGATTTAGAAAGGTGACAATGTGATGAATGTTGTATTTGCATTCTGGTAGCATTCAGAATGTGCTAGACACCTTCCAGACACACATTTGTGGATCACACTCACTATATACAGTCAACTGCTATATTAATAATGAGTTTCCTTACACTTCTTGGCTTCATGCTTTCCACAATCATCACAGATAAAATAAAGTTAGCCCCTTATAATAAGAAGGATTTCTTTCCTCTTTCTCTCCCAGAATGCAAAGCCAGTAGTATTTAAAATGATGTCAGTATATCCAAATGCAGAAAACAATGCCAAAATGTTTCTGCATAGATTGATGTTGTTTGTTAGTAAGTCTCCATAAAAAAATTCACTAGATCAACTTATCTTTTTTGTTTTAAAAGTTGTTGCTACACTGAAAGGAAGCTGGCATCCAAAATAATGCTCAAGCTGCTGCTTCTGTTATTGGAGCTTGAAAGTCCTAGACTTACCATTAACTCAGACATTCAAAAGAATAGTTGGCATTGGATTGGAGTGTGTCTGGCCCAAACGCCTGCAGAATACATTAAAAAATTGGGGCTAGCCAGCTGGGAAGACCAATTGTTGCTGTTGAGTTTCAAGGCTTAAAAAAACATCTCAAAAGAGCTATTTTGTTGGACTTTGATGATTTCTCCCAAAAGCAAGCTGCAGTCCAGAAGTCTTTCCAAGGAGTTCTTGATAAGAGGAATGAAAATACAGTATTTAAGACTCTCAAAGGAACACTTACAATTTATCTCAGCTCCTGCAATGCTATTATGAGACAAATCTAGCAGAATAAAAATGACAGCTCAGAGCTTAATCCTCCCCTTGCCCTTCCTAGGCAAATAATATCAAGAACCTGTTGAAACCCATTCTAATCTCTGGAAAGGTTTGTTATATACCTGAAAAATAAGTATGCATATGGAACTGGAGCCATTCACCACACAAAAGGGTGTTGGGTAAGTCAAGTTTCTAATTCTGTTCACACAAAAGCTATTTGATCATGGGATCCTTGTAACTCTTTCTTAAGAACACATCCCCTTAATAAGTACACAGTGAGCAATGGTGATAAGGTAAGATCAAGTGTGGAAAACTGCTACTACTAAATATTTAGGCTTCAAATCACAAACCTTCAAATATTATGAAGAAAATGGTCAACTTTGGCCAACAAATAGCCAACAAATCAAAATATTGTCAAGCACAAAGCCGTTTTATGGTGCATTGAATTCAACAACATCTCCCATTCTTTCACAAATGAAGGACTCTGTAAGGTTCAACAGCACTTTGAAGGACCGTGGGTTAACAGAAGCATGGGAATATCCCCACATCAGGTATGTTTGCTTTTCTATCACTCCAACTATACTACAAAAGAAAAAAAAAATCAGAAGGTCTTAAATGGATGTTGGAAAACCCAACATGTTCTTTCTTTCTCTGATATCATCCTAGCTAGGTACTTTAAGGTATCCTGCCTTACCCACAGTATCCAAAGACTTTTCTCCAATCTTCTCTATGAAAGCAGTGCCTAGGTCATATCGCAAATATG